TAACCACCAGAAAACTAGAAATGAGGCTACGGCTCCTAGTGGTAGAGAGCTAAACTTAAGCAGAAAAGCTCAGGGACCAGGCCCCGAGTTCAAGCACCATGACCAAACAAAAAAGAGAAACAAAACAAAACAACCAAAAGCATGGCTTTCTGAGTTTACAGAATACTGTGTGTCCCTCTCTAATGATTTTTCTACCTTATGAGTAAGGAGATTCAACTAAGAATTCTGTATCAAATATTGTGCATATTTGGGGAAAATACTTTAATATAATGCAGATATTTACTTCGGATACATAACACAGGCTTTGAAAGTCAACTGATGAAAGTGAATTTTATGTCATGATTAATGAATTGTCAGGGGTTTTGAATTAATATTTAGACTATTCTCAGGATCACACTTTAAAAGGATGTTTGGATGTGAAATAGACATATCATCTTTTTTTTGCCCATTTTTTATTGTGAAAATACCATACAGAGAGGTTACAATTACATGGGCAAGATAATGAGTATATTTCTTATCAAGCATTGTTGCCTCTTCCTTTGTTTCCCCTTACTATCCCTTTCCAACAACCCCCTTGCCCTGCCCCAAAGTTGTAAAGTTCGTTTTCGACATAATGTCTTGTACATCTCATTGTTGCATGGGTCCACCTGTATCCCTCTTTGTTTTTTCCCTTCCCCTCCACAAATTATACCAACATCAAATACAGTGAAAACAGGGATTATACTGTGGGGGAGGGACATGCAAAGCAACAAAGAAATATCTTATAAATATCTGAAATATACCTGGATCTCAAAAAATTAAATCCCCCCAACAACAAATCCTCAAAGAAACAACTGCCCAATAAATAAGTGGGCTAAAGACTTACAGAGAAACTTCTCTGAAGAGAAAAGAAGGATGGCCGACACATGAAGAAATGCTCAACCTTTCTAGCCATAAAAGAAATGCAAATCAAAACAACATTGAGATACTACCTCACCCCAGTTAGAATGGCTATAATCAAGAATTCTAATAACAACAGATGCTGGAGGGGATGTGGACAGAAGGGAACCTTACTGCATTTTTGGTAGCAGTGTAAACTTATTCAACCACTTTGGAAAGTAGTATGGAGGTTCCTCAAAAGACTCCACATAGAGCTCTCTGATGACCCAGCAATCCCACTTGTGGGCATTTACCCAAATGATCACAAACAAGACCACACTAAAGCTACCAGCACAACTATGTTTGTTGCCGCATTATTTACCATAGCTAAGATATGGAACCAACCCAGATGCCCCTCAGTAGATGAATGGATCAAGAAAATGTGGTATATATACACAATGGAATTCTATGCTTCCATCAGAAGGAATGACATTGGCCCATTTGTTAGGAAATGGAAAGACTTGGAAAAAATTATATTAAGTGAAGTAAGCCAAGCCCAAAGAAACATAGGTCCCATGGTTTCCCTTATTTTCAATAACTAGTATATGTCTGAGACAAACAGAAAAGGTCAAATAAGCTGATGTTAGGTGAAATGAACCCCAAGATAAGGACTCAAATGGATTTTCTTTCTTGCTATTGTTTCTAACATATTTATAAGACATATCATTGAAAGTTCCATTCTTCCTTAAATAGAGTACAGGAAGTTTGTATTTGATTTGTGTTATTTGTTTATTCCTTTATCACTATTGCAGGAGCATAAAGGTAGTTTTCCTGTGCTTGGGTTTCCATTTTGGGGACAAACAATTCTGTTTATAACATCTAGGTATTTACAAAGCTCTGTGTGTGTGTGTGTGTGTAGCTACACAGACATGTGAAATGAAGAACGTCATTAGCTATTTCTAAATTGCAGCACTTTTGTTCTTCAGAGGATTCATTTTCAACAGGGAAACAGCAGTTTTTTCATTAGCAGTATGGATTTCCTACACCAACAAAGATAAGTATAACTCACATAGTCCCAGATTTTGAACTTCTGAAAGTGTCTGATAATTCTCAATCCATCTTACCACCCTAAAGATGGTTATTGCTTTTAGCCACAGATGCTTACAATAACCTTGCAAGGACACAGAGTTTAGGTTCCAAGTAATTTTCTGCTTGTGAATTTTTGGCAGTGATTGCCAGACTATTGATGGTACCAGGTGGAAGAAAAAAAAACTGTCAGTGATAGGACAGATTGCAAACTGCAAGAATCTTGAAAGAGTATTATAAAGTATGTATGTATATACACATACATATGTATGTATGCGTATGTGTATATGTATGTGTGTATTCAAAGAAGGCAAGTAGTAGAATAAATTCCTCTGAATGGAGAATCAAATAGCATGATTGTTTCTTTAATCTCTTAAACTGTCAATAATGGAAAAAAATAAAAACCTCTAATACCACCACAACAGAATATATCAGAAAATAAAGTATCAGAGATCAGGAGTTCAGTCATGGCTTGATATGTACTTTATACTGAAAAGAAGTGTACAGCATTTTTTACATCCATACCACAAGGACTTTGTACCACAACACTACCAAAACAGAAATCAGTGGATGAGATTAGTTAAATGCATCTTAAGTCTGGGATCTACATTTCTGACTCCTGCATGTGTTTGAAATAGAGAGAAGCTGTGATTAAAACCACACCCCATGCTTCCCAACCATCCCAAAGGTTATCTGCATGACCCAACATCCCATGCTTCCCAACCATCCCAATGGTCATCTGCATAACCCCACATCCCATGCTCTGCATGACCCCACATCCCATGCTTCCCCACCATCCCAATGGTCATCTGCATGACCCCACACCCCATGCTTCCCAACCATCCCAATGGTCATCTGCATGACCCCACATCCCATGCTTCCCAACCATCCCAATGGTCATCTGCATGACCCCCTGCAGTTTTACACTTGTCATCCGGGTCTGTGGCCTCCTTGGCACAGAAGCTGCTCTATCAAGACAGAGATGAAGGCAGCAGTGGAAGAGTGGTATTGAAAACAGAGTTGAGGGTCAGTGAGTGGTTGCTTAAAAACAGCTGATTGATGTCTATTATCTACATTTGTCTCTTGAATCAAGTGTTTTGATTTATGATGCTGGACATGGTGCAGCTTTTTATGAGGTAGTGGCAAGGAAAGACTGTTCTGGAATGTTCTAGAGAACATTGATAGATAGCACGAAGAAGCACTGAGCTAGCTGTGGGGTGTGAGAATGTGGAGGTTGGTTCCCAGCATCCTTCCGCTGTCCACCTTTGCAGTGACTCTTAAAGTCTTTGCTCACACAAGCCAGTGGCTTCTACCACAGCAGCAGGATCTCACTGCAGGGCGTGTGGATGTGTGCATAGGAGTTGCACCCCAGTAGGACAAGTCTTCAAACCTTGGTGCTGCTGAAGAGCCAGTCATGGAGTGATTCAGGCAGAACACTTAGTACTTCCTCTACCCCATTTTTTTCATCTACTGATAGGATTCATGAATGCACCTGAAAATTAAGTGAGATAGAGCAAACATTAAATAAATCAGGAATTTCTCCATAATTCAACCCCTAATATTCACAAATTCTAAATTCCTAAATGAAGAGACATACATGTGTTTGTAAGCCTGAGAGTGAGTCGAGAAAATAAGGACAAAGACCATGTTGCCGACTCCACGTTCACCTTCATGTGCGCGGTAGGCGCAAGCCACCAGTGATCCACTGCATTATGGTATGCTGAAGTCACTCACAAGGTGTGCCTGAATACAAAGCTCTGTTAGTGCACAGGGCGAATCTCTTACACAGACCCATGGGCAAAATTCTATACCCTCCAGGGCCTACAGAAAAAGATGAGGACGTTCTGTGCATAGTCTTTCATAGGGGTTTTCTCTTTTTAATACTTTCAGTACCTTGTCTTTTGAAAAAGCAAATATACCTCTGTAGGGCAGTGAAAAGCCTGGCAATTTGGTAAAATGAGTTTTTACATTCACCTTAACCAAAGTCCAGAAGGATGGCATTTATAGAGGATGAAAGATTGTTGGAAATGATGGATTGACTAGCATGTTTCCTGGGTTATGTAGTTCAGGAAAATGTGTAATTATTTCTGAGTTCCCCATGGCTCCTCTGTTGAACATAATGTTCTGACATGCAGCAGGGAGAGTTCCACATAGGAAATGCAAATCTGCAGGTGCCCGCCCCGCTGTGGAGGCCAGGTTAATCATGCAAATCTAATGCGATTCTTGGTATTTCAAGAAAGGGTTTAGTTGAAGTCCCATGCTCATACTGATTTGAAATTCCTACTTTTGACAGCAGTGTTGTCTCATCTTTTTAGCCTCAAAATTTAAAATACAGAACAGAACGGAAGAGACAGGATTAAAGAGTGGACATCCATCCACTTTGGTTAACCATAGGAGTGTAAGTGGGTTTGTAGGGGCAGAAGGATGCAAGGGACTTCAAGAAGGTGAGAATTGCTGGGCCCTGGGGCCTCGTACCTATAACCCTAACGACTCCAGAGGCTGAGATCTGAGCTTCACCATCCAAAGACAGCCCAGGCATGACAACAAAAGGCCAAAAGCAAAAGGCTCCGAAGTTGAAGTGTCAGAATTGAGGGGGAAAGCTGGGGATACAGCCCGATGTCTGAGTTCAAGCCCAAGTAATAGCTCAAAATAAACAAACAAACAAGAAGGTGGATAATTAATGGTAAATCAAGAATTACAAGAAAACACGATTTGCAAATGGTCTGTTAAAAAAAAAACCCATAGAATGGAATAAAAATTAAGTAGTTATGCATGTTTACGGGACATTGGCTTAGTTCAAAGTAGATGGCTGAATCTGGCAATAGTAGAACAAATCAAAAGCCACAACACCAATTTTCTAACTTTGGGGAGAACATAAAATTCCTCTGGGAATAAGGCGGTTTACCAGAAGCAATGGAATCATTTGTCCTCCAGGGCATGATGACACATTGTAATAGCCTTTCTCATCCGGTTGCCTGACCTAAGAGTTATTTTACACATGGACACATAGCCGACCCTCTTGTAAGTTGGTCTCTTCTGCCTACATTTCTCACCAGCTGCACTCTGATGTGGATAAAGGAGATGGTTCCATCAAATACATCTTGTCAGGAGAAGGGGCCGGCTCGGTGTTCATTATTGATGAGAACACGGGTGACATCCATGCTACCAAGAGGCTGGACCGCGAGGAGCAGGCCTACTACACACTGCGGGCGCAGGCACTGGACAGGCTCACCAACAAACCCGTGGAGCCCGAGTCTGAGTTTGTCATCAAAATTCAAGATATCAACGACAATGAACCCAAGTTTTTGGATGGTCCCTACACTGCGGGAGTTCCGGAGATGTCTCCTGTGGGTAAGTCAAAAGTGTGCTGCGGTAGCTAATCTTAGATGGTTGGTAGATGGCCAGTGATCCTGAGAAAAGTCACAGGAGCCCAGGGCTGTCATGAGGGCAGTGAGCAAGAACAAAGCCATGGCAGCATGATGGTCGCCTGAACTCACACTCAATACGTTACTCTATTGACATGGTACATCAGGAAATCTGGTGTCCAGGTTTAAGGACTTTAAGAAGTTAAGTGTGAGTTCTGTTTTCTATGTAATGTTTGTTTTCTCCTTAGACATATTGTTATAATGACGCCTAAGATATAACGCCCAGTCCTGGTAGACACAGCCTGGTGATGGTCTCTCCTTCAGCTTTGGACATCAGGATAAGGATTTACTCAACTTTGTTTCCCACCCTCTCCAAAGCACACACAGGCGGACAATGGCTTGTCAGGCTATTTGCTTACCGGTGTCTCAGCTCACAAATATCCAGCGTACATGTGTTATCCTTCTGTTATTTTTTTCCCAAGTGAAAATCCAATAGTGAATTGTGTATAATAATGGCAAACCCATACTCGATTTGGAATATGTAAGAGAATAAAGAAGGCTGTTTTACTCAAAGCTTTTTTGAGTAGAAAAAAATACTAGAAAAATACTAGAAAAAATAGCAAGTAATGTGCTTTTCATGTATACTTTATCCCATACAATATAAAGTCTTATGTTTAAAATGTAGATTTTCAGGTACTGTTAGAGTGGTTTACAGCCAATATGTACTTTAAAAGTGATGTTTTATAAAACAACAGAAGAGATAAGAATGGAAGCTAATTAATTTGTATATTTGTTTTGTTTCACTGTATTGATGGAACAAAGTTTACTTAAAATATGAAGAGAAAATTTCTCATAGCACATAGGAATTCTAGCCAATATGATTTAATTTGTTTAAAATAAAGGTGGTTTCATTTGTTCAATTGTCCAATAACATTTTCTACATGAAGAGTAGAATTCTAAGATATATGTCTTTAAATGGGTGAGAATTTGTGTGTCACACATATACATACAAACGTGCATGAAGTAGTTAATATATTTAGAAATATATTATATTATATATTATATTTAGATTAAGCCTTTAAAGAATCCATGAATGAATGTGTTTTTTGCCATCAGACAGTGAGTACTGTATTCATATAATTATATGTGTATAAATATATAATCTAAACAAATATTATTTGATACTTAATAGATTTCCACTCAAAATGGAAGTAAAAATAGTAGATCTGAGTTAATGCTGTCCATATTCAATGAGCAGAAATATGTAACATACAATACAGGAAAACCACTAGGTATTCCCCTTTTAGTTTGTCGTATTTTTCTCCTTTGGGAAGGTATGGTTCATAGTTTTAAGTAAAATAATGACTAAGGAGATGGAGAGCCTTTTTTATCCTGCTAAAATTCTTTGCTCGATGAATGAAATACCAGTTTCTGTCTGATTCTGTTTAAACTACAAAAAGATGGTTTTCTGAACGACTTTTGTGTTCAGCCTGCTATTTTAACATGGCAGGTTCCTTCAGGAGAGCAATGAAAATCTGTTACCTGACATTGGTGACAGACGCCTATTCCTAGAATTTCAGTTCCTTTTTTCTTTTGGTCGGTCATGGTGCTTGAACTCTGGGTCTGAGTGCTGCCCCCAGCTCTTCAGCTCACAGCTAGGGGTGTACCACTTGAGCCACAGCACTGCTTCCATTTCAGCTCCTTTAAGTATTAATTTTGTCCCCCATAATATAAGCATTAATAAATCGTGGTGAGTGGAATATTTATATTACCCCCTATGTCAAGTGCTCTAGTATTGTTTATTTCTTTGAAGTCATCTTAAGTAAAAAACAAAAACAAAGAACATCAAGAACCACATTTCAGATATATGGAATGAAGATAAAATTAATTTAGAATATAGCCCAAATGTAGCATTGGCTGTAGTTTGGCAGTTCTGAATTACTGGATTTGGAAGGCGTTCATTGACAAAGCTGTGGATTGTTGTCTAGGGACTTCAGTGGTCCAGGTGACAGCCACAGATGCAGATGACCCAACCTATGGCAACAGTGCCCGAGTGGTCTACAGCATTCTCCAGGGCCAGCCCTACTTCTCAGTGGAGCCAAAGACAGGTAATGTGCAAAGGAGGATGCCCCTTATACTTGTCTCATACTTTGGCTTAGAAATAGAATCAGTTGACAACAGATACCGTATTATCTTTAGTATGTGTCTCTGATCATGTCGACTTCTTTCAGTTTTTGTTTATTTTTAGTGTATTCATATACAGAATTATAGGAGGTAAAAATTTAAACACTGGCAGAAGTCTCTCTACTACAGGATAGAATAGAATGTCAGTTCAATTTATAAGATGATGGGTTTGTTATTTTCAGAAAAAAAGCTCACCAAAACGATGATGTTGATCTAGTAAAAGAAAACAATTATGTTTTAATCAGTTTGAAAGAAATGTTTATTAGCTAAAAACCTGAGTAGAATATGCATATCATGTGGTTCATTTGGTTTGCTTTTGCTTTTAACCTGAAACTGTTTACACATTATTTAATCATATTGTGAAACATTATTGTTTTTATTACTGATAACACATTCAGCTTTTCTGGTTCTTCCTGTGCAGAATAGGTAGGTGTTTGAAAATATCTTGGAGTATGTGCTGCTAATATTTTCTCACTGAAAATACAAAACATTTCTAGCTGAATATAATTCTGTCTTTATCAGAGAACAGATTTCTTTTGAGTACACACATATGTGATTATGAATATTTCGTAGTACCTGAGATCTTAACTGAATAATGGCTTGGGTTTGTTTTCTATATTTATCAAAAAAGGTAACATCAATTTGTTCTCAGATCATTGCAGGGATAAATATTTCCAGTGCCTTTTGAACTCAACAGATGTTGGGTTGCATAAATACAGAAGTATGTAGCTCATTCGTTCGGAGTTTCAGAGTTTGCAATGATTTTTTTTTGGTGGGGAGGGTGGTTCTCGAACTGGTGTTAGACTCGAGGGACTTGGGTACTTTCCCTGAGCTTTTATTTTTCTCCCAAAGCTGGAGCTGTACCAATGAGCCACAGTGCCACTTCTGGATTTATGATAGTTGTTTGGAGATAAGAGTCTCACAGAATTTTCTGCCCACACTGCCTTTGAGCCCAAATCCTCAGATCTCAGCCTCCTGACTAGCTAGGTTTACAGATGTAAGCCACTGAAGCCAGACTTTGCAATGAAGATATTACATCAAGGTAAAGATCTTAGAAAGCACCTGGAGAATCTAGAGAAGCAAAGTCACACTGGAAGAGAAGTAAATGAAAGTTCTTGAATGTAGAAGTCCTGTGAATGTAGAAAATCTGCTCCTGTTCTGTTCGACTTAATTTAGACACCCACCCTTTTTCTTATATATCTGTTTTTTTAAGACTAGAAAGACATTGACAAGTTTCTGACAATTTGCTCAGAAGTTACACATTCTGCATTATGTAACCTATCCAAAAATATCTTGTACTCATTTCAAGGGTTAAATATTTTACTGCTGCTAATGAGTGGTTTGTGATTTTAGTCTTGCAGTAAGATAATGGAATTTTCCTATGAACTTGTGAAGGCAAATCTGTACTTGAATGACTGGATCAGATTATTAGTTAAATACATAAGCTGAATTTTAGGCAAGCTCTGTATCTCTTGTCCTGTGATCATTTTAAGGACAGTTTATAAATAAACTTTGCTCAAACTAAGATGGCCTTGAGCTATAAATCGTGCTGTCTCTGCCTCCAAAGTACTGAGATTTCAGGCATGAGCCACCACGGTCAGCTTAAGTAGATGTAGTTTTAATTTTGGAATCCAAAGGATCATTTACAATTAAATAGTTTGTTTTGTTGATACTGTAGCCATGACAGTTATTGGGAATTCTCCCTCCATGTTTTTTTCTTGCAGAGACTGTATAAACATTTTTGTTCTCTCAGCTAATTCGAAATACAGAAAATGCACTTCCTGAAAGTAAAAAAATAAATTGTATTTTTTCAGACAAAAGTGGAATTTTAGGCCCTCCGGGGCACAGGGAGCTGAAAATCAAGTTTAATTTAGTCCTCTTTACCGGGTGACTGCAAGATTTGTATCTATGGAGAAATATCATTACTTTCCACATCTCCAAACTCTAGAGGTTTTAAAGATGAAAGCAAGATTTTGCAGGGAAAAATGTTGACAATATGCTAAATAAATAGTAGTAAAAAAATAGGTTGAATCAGTCATTGTAAGGTACATTTGTAGAAAAGTTTGTTTAACTAAGAATGTAGTGTGGTTGAAACCTCAGAGAACGCATTTCACCATAGCCCTGTTTACAGACCAAATAACCAGAGGGTAAATCTAATTCCTCCCTTAGTTTCTCCTTCCAAAAAAGCAGATAAGAGCTTTCCTAAAAGCCAACATTGACAATGTACTCTCACAAGGAAATAAAATGACAGTAGAAAACATTAAAAAAAGACCTAGAACATTCTCACCCTTTTTAATGTCCACAGAATTACAGGGAGATAGGTCATTGCTAGGTTTGTTGGTAAACTCTGTAACCTATGAGAAAATAAGATTCCACTTATAGTTCTATTTGGTAAATGACAAGGCTACTTAAACAATTTAGAATTCAAAATATGCAGCAGAGCCCTTAAAAAATGCCAAGGATTTATAATGTAATCAGTGGAACTTTAAAACAAGTGAGGGATCAGTGTGAACAAAGAAATTCTACTAGCATCACACTAGCTCAGGACAATAGATCCGTTGTAGAGATCACTTTCCTTTAGGATAACTTTCTTGAAGGTAGAGAGGTGGTGTCTGCATTCCAGGTGGCAGGTGTAGTTTCTTCATTATAATTTTATGTACATTTCACTCTCTTCACATAGGGGTCTCACTCACATTCTGGTCTAATTCTATGTCTTGGCATATGGCAGCTTAGAGAAGGACTTTGTCAAATTAAAGAGGATCCCTGCCCCTAAACCCAAGGCCAGAAGACAGGAGGAGGTCTTTCCTCAGAGGCTTTTTATTTTCTGACAGCTCTGGGATCCTTTGGTGCTCTAGAAACTTCCAAATTCACAACTGTTGGGTTTTCAACATTGTTGGGTTTCTCTGTGTACACACACACACACACGCGTGCACACACACATATGCACACACATATTGCTTTTATTATCCTGAAGTAGTTGTACAAAGGAGTTGCCACTTCATAAAACAGTTTATGAATACAATATGTCTTGATCAGTGTCACCCTTTTGAAAAATTTCACATATCCCTCCCCTCCCCTACCCATTCCTTTCCTCTTTTTTATTTTGTAGGCTATATATTAGATTCTTGTCTGCATTCTATACATTTCTATTATATGCTACCATTCCAAGAAGACTAAGTAATACCATTCTTGCACTAAAAATCGAGGGGAGAAAAATCACACTTATTCAGAAGAGATTATCCAACATTTTGGCAAATTTTTATTCCCAAAACTTTTTTTAGGTAAGGAGGAACCTTCTCTGAAGCGTAAATATTGTGCTTGCTCTGCGTTTTTGATGAAGAGGCCTAGTGAATAACAATGATAAAAGTACCATACTTAATTTTTTGCCTATTTTAAATGAATTCATAATTTTTATTCTAGTATTAAACTTATTATTCTCAAAGAAATTTCTTTTAAAGTGGCCCGTACACCTTTAATATTTATGCTCATTCAAGTTTCTGTATTCCTTTGACATGTAACTTTCAAGATTCATGAATACTTATTTTTCTTAAAAGTTAAGGCTGCCCTGTTCAAGATCTATTTCATCATGCCCCAGTTTCTCTAATTGTGAAAAAAAGACTGTGGTTTGATCCTCGTCTGTATTATTTCTGCAAATCTGAATATATAACCCAATAGATCACAAAGCATTGAACCTAATATCTCTTTCATAAAGTCTAATATATTTATTTTCTCAGTGTCACTTAAGTCTCAGAGGTATATTCACCTAGAGTGCCTATTGCATTTTCCACTTGCTTTCTATTTATTTTCTAATTATATCTTTGTACTTTAAGGTTTAGGATTTTAAAATTCTTACCCAATTTCCATGATTATCAGTATATTTCATCCCAGAGTGAGTTGATGGGTTTTCTATGCTTGATGAAACATTGAAGAGGGGTAGAGTGGCCTTTAGGACTCTGAATTGACAAGAGTGAGCATTGTCACCTAATGACAATTAGGACTGATCAAATCCTCTCAAAATGCAGGTGTGTCCTTAAGAGCAGTGTTTAGCATTGCAATTCTTTCTTGAATATGCACTATACTCATAAAATTAGCTAACATACCACATATTAAGGTAATGTAAAACTGAAAAAGTTCATCTTGGTAGGAAGCACCATTGTGTAACTTAAAATATTAATTATGCATATTTTTACAAACTGAATACTGTGTATAAAAATTTAGTCTGCTATATGCAAAGTTATTTTGCAGGTATATTCATTTGTAGATTCATATATTCACATAAACTATCATTTTTAACATTGTTACCAAAAGAGCTGAAAGAATGCCCAAGTTAAAAAAAGAAAAAAACAGCATGGATTATTCATCAAATTTTTACTTCTGGACAAAGACTATTTTCTACTGGTAGTGTCTGTCAAAACTCAATTGCTACTCTGCTCCCCCCCCAAAAAAAAAACTGCAGCAAGCAGCTGATGCTCATTCATGGTCTCTCCTCTGACATGTGTTATCAAGTAGATAGGAGCTAGGAGCAAGTGTCTGTCATGTCTAATTCTGTGGTCTTAAAGAACTCGTTCTGTTCCCTCTGGAAGAGAAAGGCTGAATGGAAAGAGCATTAGTGGTTTGGAAACTTAGTGAATGCAGGTAACAGTTGTTATTTCTAGTTAAAAAGTAAAGTATTTCCGCATTTGATTAGATCCTAAAGAAAGCTAGGGTTTTTTGTTTTGTTTTGTTTTGTTTTCTTCATTAGTGGAACATTAATTGGCTCAAAGTACTGTCAAAACTGTTAACTTCATTGTAAGGATGCAAAATCTCAGTAAGTTCAACTTTCAAGGTGGAGTGGAGTGTTCTCCTCCTGATGGGCTCCAGTGATTACCGGGGACCGTTAAATCAAAGTTGGAATACACAGAAGCACGGCTTCAACAGGGGCTTCCTACACTGTGGTAATTTCAGAAATGATTCTTATCTGTCGGAGATAGCTCAAAATTATAATAAGATGCCATGACAACCAAATATGCTCTAAAACAACAAAAAAACCAGAAACACACACACACATAAACAAAGGAAAACAGTTGTCAGATGTGAAGACTGTACTCCTACCTACTTAGGAGGCTGGGGTCTGAGGGTCAAAGTCCAAAAACAGGAAGGACAAGTACATTTGTGGGACTCCTATTTCCAATTAACCATCAAAAAGCTGGAAGTGAAGCTGTGTCTTAAGTGGTAAAATGGGAGCCTTTAGGAAAAAACAACGACAGCAACAGAAACAACAACAACAAAACACTGAAAGATAGCGCTCAGGCTCTGAATTCAAGCCTCAGGATAAGCACAAGAAAAAAAAAATCAGCACTTGCTGAAACATTCAAGAATTGTCAGGTTGTTTTCCTAGACTAAAAAGCGTACAATTTTTGAACAAGAGCAGCACTCATAACAATATTTTTTGTAGCCATAAATCGAAAGTTCTGACTGATAGGATAAATAAAATACATCTATACAAAAGCTCTTCTGAGTACTACTTTCACCTGCAATTAGAAAATACTCAGAAATCCTAAGATTTGAAACAATATCTTCTCTAAAAATCTAATACACTGGGCTAGGAAGGTGGCTCAGTGGTAGAGTGCTTGCCTTGCATGCATGAGGTCCTGGGTTCGATTCCTTAGCACCACATAAGCAAAAAAACCCAAAAGTTGCTCTGTGGCTCAAGTGGTAGAGTGTTAGTCTTGAGATGAAGAGCTCAGGGACAGTGCCCACACCCAGAGTCCATGCCCCATGACCAGCATAAAACAAAACCAAACAAAACCTAATACACATGTTTATCTTATTATGAAAGTAGTAATTTATATTTCATGAGAATCTCGTAAAGTGTAGAGTTTCAGTTACATGACATTGGCCTTACCAGTTCAGAGGCATTACGTCCACACTGCATTCTGGGATTACATGTGCCCCTGTGACTATAGATCTATCTAATAAATGAGAATAAATTGTGATGTCTCAGAAGTCTTCCCCAATATTTATGATTTACATTTAAATGTAAAAATAGTACCATCCACAGATTGCTAATCTCCTAATCTAATCCTTCCTTCCTTCCTTCCTTCCTTCCTTCCTTCCTTCCTTCCTTCCTTCCTTCCTTCCTCTCTCCCTCCCCCCTCCCTCCATCCCTCCCTCCCTTTTTGTCTCTCTCTGTTTCTGTCTCTGTCTCTCTTTATTTTCTTTCTTTTTTGTGAGGGTCTTGGGGTTTGAATTTAGGGCCTCGGCACTGTGTTTTTGTATATATAACTTTTTCATTGTGAAAATACTGTACAGAGGGTTTACAGTTATATGGGCAAGGTAATGAGTTCATTTCTTATCCAGCATTGTTGCCTCCTCCTTTGTTTTTCCCCTACCCTTCCTTCCCTCCCAGCCCTACAACCACACTTTTTGAGCTGGGGTTAGTTCTCTAACACATAAGTCACAGCTTTATTCCCAACTTTTTCGTGATTGTTTGTAGATGTGAATTTCATGTATTTTCCTGCCTAGGCTGACATTGAACTAGAATCCTCCAATCTTAGCCTCCTGAAGAACTAGGATCACAGGCGTAAACCACCAGCACAAAGCTAGAATGCTAATCTTACTGAAATTTCTTAATCTAAATTCAATTTTCCCCAGTTATTCCATTTGGAATGTGTTCAATAGTTGTAGGACTTGAAAATTATCTTTGCCCCGTGAAATCACTTGCAAACTTTGTGATGATTTTTAATTTTGGAGAAGTATTACTTATTAAATTCCTTTTTACACATGTAGTTAGAAATGTGATAACCAAGAAACAGAATTATGCTCTCTTTGCTTAATTACCCTATTAGAAAACACTATGAGGTTTTCTTCCCTTCTGTTCACTTGGGGTGTCTTAGACCTCTTATGAACAGAGTCAATTTGAAAAAAAATCATACTTGGTTGGTATATATTGATATAAGGAAGAAAAATAAAAGATGACTAGAGATTTAATGTTGAAACAATGAGCAGACATGGTAAAGATCCATACTTTTAATATTCCATATAGATACAATGTTTAATGGTCTAATGCTTAATTATGAATGCTTAATCAAAATAGTTACACAGATAACATTAAGAGTAAATAAGCAAAGAAACACAACTCATCTCTTAGAAAATTTTAAAAAGTCAGGGGGAATGTGGGAGAGAAAGTTGAGAATATTCAAACGTTGACGGTGTTTAAGATGCATAGTATTCATAAACTACTCGTATGAATGACAACTTCTTTATACAACTATTTAAAGATAATTTCTAAAAACAGAAAAGAAACAAAGAACAGCAAAAGACAGACATGTAAGCTGTAAGACTCTCAGATAAACATTGTAAGTTTGGAGATAGTATTCATAAACCCAAGCATTGTGGTGGAGCAAACTAGGATTGGAAACACTAAAGGAGGAATATGAAAATTCATAGAACAGTAAGACAAGAATATTAATATTAAGACAAGAATACTTGTGTTGTAGACACTAATCAACTGAACTTTGTGCATATATAACTTTTGCAGTTTTCCCTGTAACATTGCAATGATCAATTACAATCCACGGATAGGCAGGAAAATGAAGTCAGTAAAATGAAAGATCATTTTGTTGCTTTCAGTCTGAAGAAGGGTGCATGTTCTCTGTCCTTCAATGCTGTGTGTCATGACCATATATGGTTGATTTTTACCTGTTCATCAAAATGGTTAGACATAAAGAAACCAAACGAGAAAAGGCAGCCACTTGTATCAGTGTTCATTGTTAGTGTCAACGCAGTGATTCATGATGCATTTTACTGGGATTTGAAATCTTACAGGAGTCATCAAGACTGCCCTCCCAAACATGGATAGAGAGGCTAAAGACCAGTATTTGCTTGTCATTCAGGCAAAGGATATGGTTGGCCAAAATGGCGGGCTGTCAGGAACCACCTCGGTCACTGTGACACTAACTGACGTCAACGACAACCCACCCCGCTTCCCACGAAGTAAGTGTCCTTTGCTTCAAGAACTCTCTTTGCATGCCTCAGGAAACATTCTAGAGTATTTTTAAAAATAGTTGCTAAGCAGAGAATTTTCTTACTGCATTCTCCCACAATTGCATTGCCTGAGGGCAATCATCAGGTTACCAATATACACGAAGCCAAATGTCTCCAAAGGAAGATGATTATTTTTTTCTTTAATCATATATTGAACACAGGCAAATATTCATGGTATTTATTGATGTGTCTTTTTGCATCACAGACTTATTTGTGTTTGGTGTGTTAGGAAGATGATGGTAATTACTGGAACAATTCTTCACCCTCAGAATACTGCCTTGTCCTTAAAGACTAAATCAAACTTATACTTCATTGGATCAAGTAATTGTTGACACATATAATCTGTAGAATGTAGATTCCCTTTAGTATTTTCATAGATATACATTTCATATATTATTATTAGTTTGTCCCTATGGCACATTCTGTTTCAAATGAAATGTTTCAAAAGAAATCAATTGAAAACAACAGTACAACACATTGCCTCCACCTCAATTCTATCTCGACTGAAGTAGGTTTTGATTTACTGAAGCAAAAGTCAAAACACTCCCAATTCTATGTAGAGTGTCTTGTTTAGGACATTTCATCATGATTTTTTTTCAGTTGCCCTATATATTGTTTTTGGCATGGTTCTTTAACTTTTTGTTACAGTGAGAAAAAAATCATTTTCTCATGCCACTGGTTCTCAAATTCTTGTCTAATAAAAGTGGGGAACTAAACTTTCTATAATAATACATGCCAAACAAGGAAGCTGTGTGAACAACCATGAAATCCACCTCTTCCTTCAAATAGTCTTTCCTTAGATATTTCCTTTTACTTTTCTCCTATTTTTCATTATTTATATTATTATGCAACAAAAATAAGAGTGCCCCTGGTCAACATATCTCAAAAGGAAAGGCACAAAGCCTTTGTGCATCTATCCATCCAAAATAATATTTATTGAAATGAACTCCAGGAAATGAAATCAAGAGGGTTTTTTTAATTTGTTGTTTATTGTTTTTGTTTTCTTGCCTTTTTGCTCTGTTTGTTCATGTATGTGTCTTTGGTATTATAAGTGGAGGCACAGAAATGAAGGGTCAAAGGGTGAACAAATGCTACAATGGTACTCACTGGATCCTATGTTGAAAATGAACTTTACAACTTGTGTGTGGGATGGGAAGGGAAAACTGGGAGAGATCAAGGGAAGAGGTGACATTTTCCAAAAGAAAGGTACTCTTTACCTGACTCATCTAAGTGTAACCCCTCTGTATATCACCTTTATAATAACAATAATTTTGTTAACATTTATTGCAAGATTATCTTTATAGAAAGCAAACTGCTAATCTTCAGCGAGTTCATGATGGCCTGTCATAATGAAGTAGAAGTTTTTGTAAGAGTAATAATATAATTATCTTGGGCTTATAATAACATTAACTGCTTGATGCTTCTTTAAACCCCAGATGACAAGAATTGGTCCTTACAGTTCTTGTGGCTTCAGTTGTCCTGCTTTTCTGGGACATACACAGCATTTCTAGCTTATTAGACACTCCCTGTGCACTAAAGGGAAGGGAGCCAAGGGTATTCCATTGACGTTTGTTCCCCTTTTTCTTTGGATTTTCTCCACAATTTAATTACCATTCTAACTTTGAAAGTTTCAAGTTGGACAAAGGACGTTCCCTTATGTGTGGAAATAATAACCATCTACCGCAATCACTTTTTAAAAACACAGGAAGTATTCACAATTTTTAGGAAGCACAAACAAGTCTGAGCCTAAAACTATAAGTGATTCTTCAGCCAGAAGAACACTGCCTACCCCCTGTCAAAAAAATCCGTTCAAAAGCACCAGTGCACCACCCTTTAACAGATTTGCTAACAGGAAATGGAGAAAAGGCCCAGGAGGCCTGAAAGGAAATGATCACAAACACAAAATAGTGAAGAGGGGCCTTGTTCTGTGGCAGGTTGTGTTCCCCTCTTCATCTTACTCTTAAATGCTATTTTGTGTTTTTTTTATTTAAAAAAATTTTTAGTTACAGTATGGTGAAAGGAATTATTTTAAAAAAGATATAAACAAATGAATTTTGAAAGTTGTCTGCTCATTTTCTTTATTCCTGCTTAAAAAAAATCTCCTGTGTTCTTGTACTATTGTGCCTCAAATCAGCTCTTTAAAAATCTCAACTAGATAATTTTGCTCCTTGGTAAATTTATAAAGTAAAAAAAAGAAAAAAAAGATGAATTTGGCCACTCATACTTCCTTGCCTAGTTTACTGAAAAATTCTTAACGAAAGATACTCAGTAAGAAGGGTGGTATGGCTCATAGCAAGAGTCCTGGCTACTCTAGAGATTGAGACCCACAGTAGTTTTGATGCCAGCCAAGCAAGAACACGAAGCCCTGAGCTAAATTAACAGCATTAACTTGTCAGAGATATTTAGGCTTGTTCTTGGCCAACTGAGACCAAATCTATATTTTTGTTAATATTTATAGAGTGTCCATTATATACATTTTAGACATTTTAATTATGTTGAATTTATTTATTTTTATCATAAATGACAGTACATTTATTGCCACTAGCAGTAGAGAACTAGAGCCTCTTGTCTTCTTTTTCTTCAGGTTATTTCTTATAACCAATCTCTTGATGTTTTGTGAATTTTGTCTCTCTTAGCCCTTACTTATTGAAAAATGAAAATAAATAAATAAACCAGACAAAAATGCTGTCTTAAAAACTCCAAAAAATTAAGCATGGTGGTTGGCTTGGTATATGGTGCTGTTCATGTCTTATTTTGAACTTCACAGGGTCTTACCAGTACAATGTCCCAGAATCCTTGCCCGCGGCCTCAGTTGTGGCCAGAATCAAAGCTGCCGACGCAGATATAGGAACTAATGCAGAAATGGAATACAAAATTGTAGAAGGCGATGGCTTGGGGATTTTCAAAATATCTGTCGACAAAGACACGCAGGAAGGAATCATTACCATACAGAAGGTAATATTTGCTGCGTCCTTGTTTTTATTTTCATTTCTATAAGGACGGCACCACAGAGGACACCGCTGTTGGTTGAGGGAAAATGTGAGAGACAAACGGAATGGTCAAAGGGAATCATTGGCATTTTAACTTTAAAATAATAATTTATTTTTAGGTCTCAGTCATTGGGAAACTTCAGTGACATTTGTAATAATTTTCATCAGTTTTACTGTCTGAATAGACCTATATCCTTTTCTGCAGCACCAAAACAATTAGACACTCTCAAGTACACTATTTGAAAGATGTACTTGAACAGAGACATGTTTTGTTTCTTGGCCAGTCGACTAATGAAGACCTGTGTTCAACTTGAAGACATTTCATGTAAAGTAGACGCAAACATGTATTGATGGACAGAATATCAGCAAAAATAGAAGTAGAGGCTATATACAGACTTGTTATATTAGCAATTATCACTGCATAAAACTTCATTAGATAATTCATACCTGTTTCATATAGAAATTCTCAAATTACTTAAATGGAAATAAAAAAGAGAAAAAAATCCAGTACAAATGACAAAAATGTATGTCTGCCACAATAAATTTAAATATATCCCCATAACTGATGAAATAACAGATACATTTTATTACCTCTTCAATGTATATAATGATATTTGTTCTAAATAAAGAAGAGAAGTCGAAGATACTATGTAGTATTATAGGGAATTTGATATATTCCAAATATTTAAAATTCTTAATATTATAAAACTCCAACATCTTGAAGACTGAAATATGTATCAGCATGAAAAATCAGGTATATAACTATAATTAACACTCACTGATGATTAACATATAAATGCAGAAAGTTTTATTTTAGTTCTTATACTAAAACATATGTTTGATTTCAGGCCAATAGACAAAACACTGCTGTAATTATTTCCAGTGGACAGCTGCTATTTGAGCTCAGCTGGTAATAATCTTTGTATGTAAGTTTTAATAAGTAGGATAGGCAAACTGTTGGCAAAATGTTTTATTTTGTGGTCTAAGATAAAAAGAATATTATAAGAGCTCAAATATTTCAAAGATGTGTGAATTCAACTTGCTAAAGTATTTTTAATATATTTTGAAAATATTTTTACTGATTCTTTATGTATGTTATATAAGACAATGGCGAGAATCATGTATATATGCATATATAAGCAATATGTATATTATATTATATGGTATATAAACATGATATATATTATATATGTGATAAAATGTAATATAAATTTTTAAAAAATTTCGGCATGTAAAATTTTGGAATGGACTTTTGTTGTGGTTGTTGATAGCATCCTGACTAAAACCAAGAAACTCAGAAATAAGATAAAGGAAGTTTCCTGGAATCATTCTTAGCATATTTTCATATTTTCCCTGTGATATGCAGAATACTGTGAGCAGGATACCAACTTGACTTATTTGTGAGTACATCTTTCAGTCCCTCTGACATATCAGAATACTTTTATAAGAAAATTGATAGTTTGTTGACAAGATTAATATTAAGGTAAATAATTATTTGTTTTGATAGCTCCAAATATGTAAATATCACTTTTATTCATAGTTATTTAATAATCAGTTGTATAGAAATTTGTACTTATCTCTAGTGCATTCATGATATCATCTGGACTTAGTTATTTTATATTATAAAAATATTTGCATATTTTCTCATGAATAATGTGTTCCTATAGAAAAATACATTTTTCCAGTTTTGAGAAATTATTGTAATATTCTCAAATATTCACATTTATTATAACTAATGCAATGTATTAAGTATGATACATACATACACACACACATATATATGTATATACACAGACAAATGTCTTATATAAGTGTCTTATCTGAGCAGCAGGGAAAACAGAAACACTATTCTTCATTGACATAAAGAACTGTAGATTTTTAATGGGCATTGTGAGAGATTACTCTTAAATATGTGTTTCTCCAGTGCTAGATAAAATGGATACTGTGATAAAATAAGCATAATAAATGAAACAGAATATTTCTGTGGAGGTTCCTATAAAGTACAATTTAATCATCCCTCCTCTACTGAAATAAACATCACAATTTAGTCTAAGTTATAAAGGCTGCGACAAGAATAGTGTTAACCAGTTAGAACGATGTTCATGCTACTTCTTGGGTATTTACAAATGATTGTGTGGGGATGTTTACAAGCAGTGACATAGGGATTGTAAATTCACAAAGTGAATTTTACTTGAGTAAAATCTGTGGTTTTCATTCCACCTAGAATTCCTCTCTTACATATTTTCATACTTGAATTTATGACTGAGGACCTTGAGTAAGGTTTTTTCTCCTCCACGGAGACATGTCAATTCTTCCTTTAATGTAGTTTTGTTTTCTACATAAATCCTCAGTTGGAATTAAACATGAAATTTTTCTTCAATATAGCACGTTACTAGAGCTAGAGCACAGTAAAACATGAGCATTTTCAAGATGCATTTCCTTTGAAGGATAAATACACACTCCCAGTGTCTGGCACCTAAATAAGTTGCTTTGTGGCTCACATTGTCACACATCCAAGAAGACAAACATGGGTCTCCTGAGGACAAATCTACTGTGGGATCTCCCTAATCTCCTCTTGTCCACACCTACAGGAGGCTAAATGAAGTCAAAGAATAAATACTACCATGTAGACATTGATGATGCTGGCTTCCTCCAAGTGCACTGAGGGTGTTAGGTAGGGGGTCCCTCCTGGATTCAGCTGCACACATTTGAGATATATGAAGTCAGTTTTTGTAACTACTACTTGCAATAAAGAGGAGCTGAGTCTAAAGCCACATGTGTTTTCTCACTACTTCTTCACTGTATCCCTGATGTGTGGTGAAGAAAAATCACACTGGTGGCATTTCCATTTTATTTATTTCTTTCTTCTCATTAAGTTTTTCCTTGGGAGATTTTACTCAATTAATTCAGTTGCCAAGTATAGGCAGTTCACAGCATGTATCTCAACGACACTGACCCCATTTTGCCAGGAAAGGAATACATTTTTTATTATTTTAGTAAAGAGACTGAAAATTTAAAAAACTAACATAATGGTGCTGATTTGGTGGACTATTGAATTTCAGGCAATATTTTTTCCCGTTCCATTATTTGGAAGTCTATGTGCTTACAAGTAAGAATATTTTTACAACATTATGCACATGAGTTCAGTCTGTTTATCACAGTGTGATATTAGCTGTGATTGAGTAATCAGGATCAGAGATGAACAACAAACTTCACCAAGAAAGGAGAGAGTAGGACAATATGAGCTGAATGATGATATGAATCTAAATGTCAGGGCATGACAGATATGATCAAAACAGGACAAAAGGCAGTACACCTGCATATATGCTGAAAACTCAGCATATGTGTGGGTCCAAGATATCTTCTAATAAGTACATCCTGAAATGGAAATGTCTAAATAAAAGTAAAATGTGCCTTACTTTTGTATTTTTATGTGGTATGTAGATTCATAAATGGGCTGCAAAAAGCAGAATTCAAGAAAGAGAAGTCTAAGAAATAGGTATGTTATAATTTTGTCATTATATCAAGAGGGTAAAAGGGAAGCCTCCAGGACAAGGAAAATATTTCAAATTTGAGTAAATGTTAGTGTTACTATGATGTCCTCTGAAATAAGAATGGGGGGATGGTCTGGAATATGTTATTTTTGATGTGCACACATACATGCATATACTATACAGGTAGATATGCTTATGTGGTTGTAAATAAAGATGTGAAACTCAAGGAGATGGTCTGGATTAAAAATTTAGAAAGAGGTTTCACATGCACAAACGTGGCAGTCAAAATTAAAGGGGTGATTGTTAGTATCTTTGAAAACCATATACACAAACTGAACCTGACAATTTTTGTTTTCATGGAATAGGAAAATTCTGAAAACAAAAATCTGTCATAAAGTAGTAATTCCCAGGATGAACGTATGTTAGAGGGTTTAAAAACCACGAACTGGAAAACATCCTAAGAAACAAGATTTAATATTCATATACAGGAAAAGGAACTGAATATCAGAGTAATAATTTGAAGGGAAATTTTGAGGGCTCTTAGATTAGAAGATTCAAGAGACACGAAATCATGTCCATGTGTAGACGTAACCTCTTCCTCAGAATTCAGTTTGGTCATTCAAGTCTCGTATTATAGTCCATTTTCCTACGCAATGCTTCCATGCCATGTCAGCATCTGAAGCTATCTCTTCTCACCCCTTTCCTCTCTGTAATTGTATCTGTAATGTATTGCTGCCTAACAACAATCTAAGGTTAGCATTTTAAAAGAAAAGTAAGCCTTTTGCAGGTTATCCCAGTCTGGGCTCTTTTCTGCTCATCGTCGCTGGACCCACACAGGCATCAGTGATCAGCTAACTGGCCACTCCTGGAGAGTGCAGCTACAGAGATAGTTGCCTATTTGATTGTGCACCAGGAAGGTGGATGTGTATCTGCCAGGAGTTACTAAAAATCCTAGGCTAGTGGGCTGGGAAGGTGGCTCAATGGTAGAGTGCTTGCCTTGCCTGCATGAGGCCCTGGGTTCAATTCATCAGCACCACATAAGCAGAAAAAGCCAGAAGTGGTGCTATGGCTCAAGTGATAAAGGGCTAGCCTTGAGCTGAAGAGCTGAGGGATAGTGCCAGAGTTCAGGCCCCACAACTGAAAAACAAAACAAAACAAGACAAACAAAAACCTAGGCTTGTGCCTAAGACAGATACTAGGTAGTCTCTGAATGCTGCTATCTAGTAGTGGAACAATAGGATGATGGCACATCATGTTGACAAAATTTAGAAACAGAAAAATCCAAATTTGAGTAAGGAGTGGAGGAGGAAAGAAGAGAGAAAATAACAGTGATTTTAGACTCAGGAATAGAAGAAACATACCTTGAGTCTCAACTCTTCTGCAAAGAGACTAAATAACTTTAACCACTGATGATCATACTGTCAGGAAGTGGTATTTTAGTTCCCTAAACACCTGAAAAACAAAATGAAAT